ATAACGCCGAATCTGTTGATATGTCGATTGGCAAGCCTTCTGTTCTATCAATTCATGTTTGATTTCCTTATCTGCGAAATATTATTTTAAGAGTGTGGGTGGATTTTTTTAATGGTCTCGTGTAAGCATCTTTTTTTTTAACAAATGGAAAAAAGTACTTTATTGTATAATTTTTAACGCTCCTCTAAATCTAATTAATTCTGTTCCATTCCACTTAATTTTGCAAAAGATTTCACTAATGAGTGAAAAACTATTTTGCGGAACCCAGAATCATTAGCAACAGAATATTTACAGTCTAGGTAGTAGAGATAAAGAAAGAATGTTTTAATATTTTGTTATTATTATTATATTAGGGTGAAATTGGAAAGTTAGAAAATATGGATACCAAAACACTTATAATTGAAAATATACTACACTAAAAACACTTTCCATTTTCCCGAAATTAAAATATTTCAAACTTTAGAGTCTGGTCTTTCGAATGGTATATGAACAAACCTCTAACTCTTTATCATGTGTAACTTATGTATATGTGAGTGCATAAAAGTACATCCAGATTATAGATAAAATAAATACATCAATGAGAAAAATTTGCGTTACATATTCTTTTTAACACTCTTTTTTATGGGCTTCACTTGTATGCACGGAATCTTTGAACTCTATTTTGTTACCCACTTTATAAAAGGTTGGATTAATTCGAAATTTTGCACACTTGTCAAGGACCGACGACAATACAATAATTTCATCATTCTGTTCCATTGTCCTCATCAGGATCATCAAGAATAACGATTTCCAGATTTGGCGACTAATTCCATATTATACCATTTCCACATTTAGCCACTAATTCCAAATCCTATTTCAATATTTGAAGACTAAAAGGTTAAGTAACAACACTAAAAGCGAAAACATGCATCAGCAATTTCTTACCAAAATAAAAAAAAAAATGTCTAGTTTTTCTGAAAATGGAAATAATAAAAAAGACTCGTTAATGTGAAAAAAAAATTATTTTCTAACTGCTAAACTCTACAAGCTTTTATTTTAGATCGAACTAAAAAATGAAAAATAAATTATAATTTTTAAAAAAACTAAAAAAACACACGCTTTTATGGTTAATCGAACTAAGAAGTAAAAAAATAATTCTTAATATAAAAATAAAATGATTAATGAGAAAATTAATAACATTGCGGTAAAAATGTAGGGTGCTTTGTACTACAATTTTACATTAACTCAGCATTTCGAAATAGAATTTGTAAGGAATTATAATAATTGATATAGAGCACCCCATGCTTTTAACCCAATGACATTTATTTTCTCGTTAATCATTTCATTCTTGTATTAAGAATTAATTTGTTTAACTCTTTAGTTCGATTAACCATAAAAGCGTGTTTTTAGTTAATTTATCAATATGAAAAAAATGAAGAATAATGGTACATAGGTTTCGTATGTGACTACAAAACACAAATTAAATGATAATGACGGTAAAAATGTTTCTTTGCTGATTCACTTCGCGAAATATTTTTCTTTATCGTTAGAATCCTTTATTACAATCCTTTTATTCTCCAACAACCTGCCGTTTTTTATCTCCAGGAAACATTTTAACGAAAGATAATTCTATCTCCCGTTTTTATCATTCACTCGCGAAGTCGAGAGCGGTAGTCCAAGGTCAGAAGGGACAGGTTCGAATAAAATCATCACTGTACAATGACAAATGTGCCGACGGCTCTGTAATTCACAGGAAATCTCCTACAATGATCTCAGTAAGTTATTCAAACATTTATCTAATATGTTGGGTAATAAGCGTTTGTGTAAAAAAAAAGGAACGTTAACTAATTCATCTTACTTATATATTTTCATTTATTATTTATTTAATGTATTAGATAATATGCAACAGCGCTGAAATACCTGACATTGCGTAGGTGTTGTATAGTTACTTGAATAAAATTGTTCTTGTTTTTTATTAAGTAAATGCCGGAGACAGAGCTGGATTCATACGTTACTACGCATTAAGCTGATGTTCACTTACAGTGACGTGACTACATTCGAAAAAGTGATATTGAAAAAGCGTATAAAATGGTTAGTTTTCTTTATATTAAGTGCCAGTTGAATTAGATTATATGTATATGCCGTCAAATCCGGCGTATAATGTGCACTTTTAACACAAAAAAGGTCGAAATTTAGGGGTCCACGTTATACGCCGGGTATAAAAATGAAAGCTTTGAAAATAAAAAGGATCATAGAAAAAATTAGACATCTACATACGCCAAAAAACTGATAATTTAAAAGAAATGACATTTCTTATGAACTTAAAGAGTTTGTAGTTTTAGAAATATGCTATATTTTTCTATAGCTTGGAATAATACTTCGAATAAATGACTTCAAAACGTAAAAGCATAGCGCGCACATTTCATATTTCTCAATGAAAAATATGATGCGCGTTATATGCCGCATTTTACGGTAATTGTTTAAAGAATGTGTTGACAAGAAAATTTTTTTAACTCAATTCTTTTGGCAGAAAATGAATGCCAAATTTTCAAAACATTAAGCTTTTATGAAAAATGCTTCTATAATAATAATATTTTGCATATATATATCGCTAGAGCCTCTATACAGAAGCTTAACTAGGAGTTCAGAAATATATCTTAGAAGTGGACTTATTAATTTTTTATTATATTAAAGTAAAGAAATTTTAACAAAAACATCCATTATAATTTCAATTAATCGTGTTTCTGAAAAAAATGTGAATTTTTCACGAACTATTGATAAACCCTAGTATAGGACTATCATTTAGCTATTTATCGGTAAAATATTATTATTATGAAAGCCATTTTTATCAAAAGATAATGTTTTGAACAATATATCATTTTTCTGCATTTTCTGCCGAAAAATTGCGTTTTAATAATTTTTTCTTGTAGTAATAACCTTAAAATACTTTTATGTGCATATTATAATTCAACTAACACTGAATATCAAAACATAATTCTTTTACACGCTCTTTCAAAACCACCGTTTGGAACATAGGCAGTCACTTTGTGTGTGAATATTAATTATTTTATTTAGTTTTTTTTAAGATAATGCGATACAAAAATGAGTCGTTAAGCGAAAAGACACAGCAGTTATAAACACTTAATTATTTATATCTGTGTATTGTGTGTGTGTGTGTGTGTGACTTATGGTTCATGGTTTAGGTGAGCACTATGAGAAACCCAACCCTGGAAAAAGGAGAAAATCTAATTTTTTATAAAATCTCCACATTTCCTTATATATCATTAAATAAAATCTTCGATAATAAATTTTAAAAAAACATCAAGTAATTTCCTTGTTGTAATTTGTTACAATTTATATATACTATTTAATGCAATTTTATTAGTTATTAACTGTTAAACTACCTAAAAATATTATAATTTTCGTGGTTATATAAATAAATGTATATAATTATAGTTGAAAATGAAATGTATATTTCTTTTATTCCTATACGAACTTCTAAAAAGGTTTCCACTGTCATAATATGTTATCGAGAACAAAACTCTTTACTGGTGAAAGCAAGGACAGATGATGAAAGAGACAATCACGAAATATTTCAATTTTATTTGAAAAAGATGTATTATTATTTTATTAAAAAAAATTAGTTTGCTTACTTTGCGAAGCCATTTCTTAAAATATCCATAATCCTTCGAAATTAATTTATTTAGCAACAATAGTATTTGCTTTTGTTTCATTTTAAGCGCATGTCAATATTTTACGAAATAGGTTGAAACTGTGTTACGAAATATTCTTATGCATTTTTGTCAGCATTTGGTAAAACTTAAATTATTTTTGTGCAATATTTGATTTGTTCTTATTTATATCGTATTTCTTATTTATTTAAATGAAAATTTGATTTTATTTTATATCACTTTAAAAATTAAAATTACTTTAAAAATAATAACTAATTTCTTAATATAAATAAAAGCACTTTTTTTAATGTATTTTATTAACGATTGAAAATTTGAACAAAATATAGGGAGATTGTGAACGAATAGTAGGAATTGAAAAATTCCCCTATTTATAATTATGTATTTAGAAATAAAATGATTTTTTTAAAAAAAAAAACTACATTTGTAAAAGTATTTGTCGAACATACACACACAGGTATAGAGCATTATTAAAGTGTTTTAAAAATATTCTAATTCCGAACATATGTAATCGAAGTGCATGACTAAGAATTTAATACTTATCTAATATGATATTCCATATCAAAACCAATCATTATCTACAAAAAACATTAATTTACGAATGAATATCGTATCAGATCTCATCGCTATTTTAGTATTATACAAAAATATTATTTATCAGGAAAAAAAATTTTTTTAAGAATATTGATTAAATGTTCCATGTCAAACTTTATGGAACAAACTTGTTTTAATCAATGATGATATCTTAAACTTTTATCTTATTCAAAATTATAGATAAGATTGGATAAATGATTTCTCTCATATTTTTGCAGAAAAGAATTAAAAATAAGAATGTGGGTATATGTTATGTTTGTAAAATAAATTTTAATTGTATTCAAATTGTTTGAAAATAATTATACTAATATAACAAAGAAAAATGCTTTTTTTACAATAATAAAAGAATATAACATTAAACATGCAAAACATAAATTTGTGTCTAAAGGTTACACATATAATGTAATGTTTTATTTTGTAGTTAGAGAAAGCCATTTTTTTAAAAAAATAATAATAAAAAAATTTAAAGTCAATTCCTACTTAGGTCAACAAAAAAAAATTTATTTTTGTTACTTTTTATTAAATAGTTACAATCAATATAAATATGTATATACATATGACAGAATCACAATATTAAGTGACAAAGTAGAAACTGATTTTCCTTGCAATTTTCAATGTTCCTTTCTATATATAGTAGGACTATTATTTTTGTTTGTTACTATTTATTCATTAATTTAACTTAATTATTCTATTAAAATAGTTTAGTAAAAAAACAAATCCCATTCTCAGAAATAAGGCCATCCAAGGTGGGATTCGAACCCACGACCTTTGGATTAGAAGTCCAACTCCCTATTCATTGGGCTACCGGGACACAACAATGGATTTTCCATTTTATATATGGTACTGGACTATTTTGTTGTTGTTGCTACCAGGTGTTTCTAAAAAAATATCGGAGTTTCAATGCTTTATAGTACTCATCACATAGAAGTTACAATTATAATTCATACATTTAATGAAAGAATATTTGAAACAGTTTTACCTACAAGTTTACAAATGTTCAATGTGAGCCTCAATTGTCACACGGCACACATCAAGTCGATAGGCGAGCTCATCCCAAACTTTTTTCGGTGTGTCTGAGGAAATTCTTGTAACATCTGCTAATATCATGTGTCTTAAATCTGGAAGGTCAGCTGGTAGTGGAGGAACGTATACACAATCCTTTATGAACCCCCAAAGATAAGTCACATGACGTCAGATCGGGTGAACGTGGAGGCCATGCGAAACAAGCTTTATTGGGAGGCTCTTTGCGGCCAATCCATTGGCTGGGTACAGTGATATTTAACCAATCGCTTACTGAGAGATGCCAGTGAGGCGTTGCCCATCTTGCTACCAAATAAAGTTATTTGGTTCACTTTCTTCCAATTGAGGAAATAGTTACAGCTGTAGAGCATCAAGATAGGCAGAACCTTTTACAGTTAGTTACCAGTTACAGCCTTGGTCGTCCCGTACTTTTTCCTTTACAAAGGCATCCAGTTGTTTCAAATTGATTATGCTACCTAAGAATGTTATTATTATTAGGAGATTGACAACCGAACTTAATAAGGAACGCTCGTTGCACAGCAATAGCAGATTCTGTGTTTGCAAACTAAACAACACAAAATGCTTTCTGTTTAGTAGTCGCCATTTTTCTACTAGCGCGTTGATCGGCAAGATGAGGGGGGGGGGATTTATACACGTTTCGCGCACACATGCCAGCAAACAAAACTGTTTCAATTGCTCTTTTATTCAATGTATGAGCCATACTAATATGTTATTTTTAACGAAAACTATAAAGCGTTAAGTCTCCGATATTGTTTTAAAAACACCCAGGATTTATTCATTAATTGAATAGAATTAATGAATTAATATTTGAAAAAAACTGTATTAACATCAAGTGTCATCCACCACGAATTTAAAAAAATGTATTTGAACATGAGTGGATGGATAAAAAGTATTTTATTAATGATTGAAAATGTGAATAAGACATATATTTTGTTTTAATAAGTATATAAAGGGAGAGCGTGAACTAATAGTAGGAATTGAATAACAAGAGAGCTTTCCTTTTTTATTTGTCCGGAGTTCTATAAATGTGAATTCGGTCCATTATTCACGAATTTTCCACTTAGAAACTGCATTAAGGCTATCTGTGACGAATCCTGTAATTTTGCGCCGCAGTCAAGTGCCGAGAGTAACACATAGCTGACGATTGTGTCCCATGGTTATAAAAATGCCTACTACAAGTTTCAAGACAGAAGCTGCATGTAACGAAAGTCACTACGATCATAAACACATACACACGTGATATATACCATAATGAATTGAATGAAGCCAATTTTTAGAGATCTAGTTGATCCTATGTAATTAAGAAAATGTTTACATGAAAAAACTCAGAATCTAAATGAGTCAGTTAATAGCACCATATGGTCAGTGATTGCAAGATCTACATTTGTGGAATTAAAAACCCTAAAGTACTAGGGGGAAATATGGCTATACACAGTTCAATATTAGTCATGTAGCAAAAATAATGATTTTAAAACATTTTGATTCTGAACCAAGTTTTAATTGTGTGCCATGCTTCAAATAACTAGATGCAAGTAGGATTCGTGTAACCCAACGAAAGCATCTTGAGATCCCAAAAAAAGTCAAAATTGTTAAAAATAATGCAAAAAAAGGAAAATTAGAAGAGTCTTTTGTATGAGCAAAGAGTAAAACAGTCTTCATATGCTTCTAGAAAGTACTAAAAAAGTAAACGATCAAAAACTTCCAAATTTTTACTGTAAAGCCTATTTTCTCAAAATGTACTATTTTTCACTTTATATATATGTAACTTTTTCTCACACAAAAACTACTTATCATATAATCCTCAAATTTTCAGTGAACACACTTTTAATATGTTTACACATTTTAACTGAGGGAATTAGACAATCTAGCAAATTGTTTTAGATATGACTTTTTAAACTAAATTTTTTTAGGGGAAAAAATAGGACAATCTTTAAAAAATTCATCATTATTTTAATTTTTAACAAAAGACAAAATCGTTCGTTAAAGTATTATTAACATTACTGTCAAATGTTTATCCATGATAAGTAAGTAGTTTCTGTAAAAAAGGTGCATAAACTTACGCAATTTAACATGGGCTCCTATGGACGTGCCGGACCACCTGAACTCCAATATTACGATACTTTGACAATGGGTTTTCTTCAATTGAGTCATAGAAATAAAAATACATTCGAAAGTTCTGAAAGGAATGGAAAATGTTACCTTATTTGGTATTATAAAAGAAAATGCTAATTGGAAGTGCTCCCGATCGCGACTGCCACCGGGGTCTCCTCTTCTACCCCTGCACACGCGTAAGTGACTCTTTGTGAAAATAGCTCTTTGATACCGTAGTTACCTTGTTCTCCTTACAACCTGACTCTTCTTTCCAAAAGTTTGTTGACCACTGTTAAAAGTAGTATTTTTAGCACGCTTTTATAAGTTTCACTTGTATATAACGCAATCTTTGAATTCGATTTTTACCCACTTTAAAAGGTCAGATTAATCGGAAATTTTCGCACACTTGTCTAGGAACGATGACAATACAATAATTTTATAATTTTGTTCCATTGCCCTGAACAAGATAATCAGGAGACAGGATAATACAGATTTGGTAGCTAATTCCATGTATCATTACCATATATATATATATATTAGGCGAATAATCCTATATACCATTTTCCAGATTGGGCGAATAATTCCGGATCCCGTTTCCAGATTTGACGACTAAAAGATTAAGAGTAACCCTACAAGGAAAAACGTTTTTTCGCGTCAGCAATTTCTTATCATTAAGTGGGTTTTTAATTTTTTTAAACTATAACTTATTTAAATGAAGCCATTTGAAAGGAAAACGTACTAAATAATTTACTATATACATTTAAATACATATTTTTTAAAATTATACTTTATCATGAACATAAATCAAAGTATATGTTTTTCTTAAAAAAGTTGAGGAAACAAATTAATTAAAAGACGATTTGGATAAATATGACTATAAAAAGTTTTGTATAATTTAATTTATTTTTAAAAAAACTCTCGTATTTGAACAACTGGAATATACTCTTAATAAACATGCAATATTATTCATCATTTTTCTTTTTTATTTAACGTCTTTTTTTCTATTTTTTTTCTAGAAAATGGAGATATAAAATAAAAATAATATGAATAAAAATTCGAGTACTATAATTTCTAAAAGCTACTTGTTTGTAATCTCATTTTGAAGTTATTTTAAAGCATTCTGATCTAAGCTTTTGAATTTCAAGAAATTTTACTTTTTCATTTTTACAATTTTAAATCGTTACAATATTTTGGGAAAAGATGTTCTGAAATATTTTGGAATGACTTGGAAGATGCTTCTAAAGCTGTACAAATGACTGAAATTGTCTAGAAGTAGCATAGACAACAAAATATTTATTAATATTAATCTAACAGAAAATCAATTGTTTCTATTTCTTTTCTTCTACAAAAGGCCAACCTATGTAGATACTAAAATATGCACAATTTTTTAAACAAGTAATGTATAAAAAAATTAAATCAATTACTATTTACGTCAACAAAGAAAATGTTTTTTAGTTAATTTTTATTAAATAATTACAAATAATATAAATATGTATATAAGTACATGTTGTAGAATTACAATATTAAGTGACAAAATAGAAAGCGATCTATCTTGTAATTTTCCATTTTCCTTTCTGTATAGGATGTTGAACTATTATTTTTGTTTCTTACTTTTTATTCATTTTTTAATTTAATGAATGAATTAATATTTGAAAAAACTATATTAACATCAAGTGTCATCTACTGCAAGTTTAAAAAATGCATTTGAACTTTAATGGATGAATAGAGAGTATTTTATTAACGATTGGAAATTTGAACAAGATATATATATGTATAGGAATTGAATCTTGTTTCATTTATATAATTTCAATTTTTGTAAATAAAAATCATCTGCACTCAAAAATTATTGAAAAACAAAATTCTTCAAGACTTTCAAAGTCTTCATAGATTAACCATTCTGTATGAAAAAGAAATAAACAACATTAAAAAATTAATTATGCATTTTTAAAATCTAAAATCCTGTCTAATTAATGGTTATGATATCAAATAACCTTTTTTCACTGTGAAAACTCTCGACTGAATTATTATTAACGCCACACACACTTAAGTAATGATCCAACTATTGGCGACGTACTTCGTAATGTTGAACCACAATCACGTGACAAAGAAGACACCTATCATACTCATACACCCAACTTCTTTTTCACGATTTTAAAGTAACACGGTACGCAAATTTAAAGCATTTATTTATTTTTTATTTATTTATTTTTGGTTCTAGTTTGGTATCATGGGGCACGCGCCAAGTTGTTGTTTATGTTTGCCAAAATGGGCAATAACATTACAATATGGTTACCTTGACATTTTTATCGTCTGCAATGTGGTTGCCATGGGGATAACGTATATTAATTTTCATTGTTTTTTTTCCCTGTGGTAACCCTATTAATTTCAGATGATTATAATTCGATTTCTTTAAAAATTCAACCATTTTCAATTGCATGTGTTCTTAAAGCCATTTATTTCAGTCTTCTGTTGTATTTTGTGCTATTTTCGAATATGGATATTTCTAATATCATGAATGAGTGCCTGGATATTTTTAGAAAAATATGAGGGCTGACCTTTTAAATTTTGCGCACTTCCACTTTATTTTATTTTTAAATAATGCATTTTTAAACTTTCAGAGCTCGATGAAATTCATTTAAGGAACTCGCAGTTTTTAGAATATTGCAAGTTATCAGCACT